GGCATTTAAGACTGCATTATAATATCTGGGTAAGACTTCAGTTTTACTTTTCTCCACAGCTACACTTAGCAAAGTTCTTCGTTCAACAGGGTTGTTACAAGGATTAAATGGGATGAGCTCCATATTTATCACTTTATTTATTTATTTGTTTGTTTGATTTGATTTGTATCCCGCCCATCTAGTCTATGCGACCACTCTAGGCGGCTTCCAATATAATGTAAACAACTAATAAAATAACACAAAAATATTACATAAATCTACCAATAACAATTTACAAAACAGAAAAATAGAGTAAAGAGTAAATAAAGGAAGAATAAAAAGAAAGAATCAAGTATTGACTGGAAGGCAAGGCTAGAATAAAGATCCATGTATTTAATTGGCTTTTAAAGATACGCAGTGTGGGGGCCGCGCAAATCTCCGGAGGGAGATTGTTCCAGAGGCGAGGCCCTTCATACCTGTAAGGATAAATACCTGAAGCATAAGGCTGCTTTACACACACAGATGGGAAAATTTACTTTTTGGGCTACAACATACAGAATATCACCGCCAGCACAGCCTTTTCTGATCTCCCCATCTGATTTAGAACTCAAAATGATTAAGGTTCTCAATTGTATGAGATCATGCACAAAGCAAAGCATGCTGCTTATATACTGCCCCATAGCACTCTCTGAGTGGTTTACAAGTTCATCATGGAGGCTACACATTGCCCCCCCCCAGCAAACTGGGTACTCATTTTCCCGACCTCAGAAGGATAGAAGGCTGAGTCAATCTTGAGCCGGCTACCTGGGATTGAACCCCAGGTTGTGAGCAGTTTTAGTCGCAGTACAGCAGTTTAGCCACTGCGCCACAAAGCTCTTCTCAACAAGCTAAGCACCCCAAATGATTCCTACTAATATGCAAAGGGTAGTCAGAATCATGCAGACAAGGCTGCCCTGACAGGGCTAAACAAATAAAGGTACCCAGACCATTTTGCATCTTTCTAGGAATTCAAAGCACCATGAACTAAGTGCTGGCCAGGTTACAGACCTTTGCTCACCTCTACTCTGCAAAATACAGCATGATACATAGGAACTGTCTCTGCATGCTGGCAAAAAAGCCTGAAAAAGCAAAATATCATAGCACTTTGAAGACTAGCAGCTTTACTTCAGTGTAAATTTTTGTCCAGGTGAGGATACAGGTAACAGACACTGCGACAATGGTTCCTTAACACAAGAATGGGACTATCAAGTTGTTACTTAAGAAGACCCCAGCCCAGGTGATAAGCTTAAACTGTTAGTCTTTAAAGTGCTACAATATTTTATTTTATTTTCCTTTTCTTTTATTAACATACAGGAACAAGTTCCTGCATGCATGGGTGAGTAGGAAACTGTACTGTATCCTGAATTTAAGCACAAAATCCCATGTCATTTCCAAGGCCTGAAACATATCCTACAGATCATTGTCACAAAAACAGGAAATGCCTTGTGCTAATTTTGTGTGATTGTTACAGCAGGCCATAAGCATGTTTTTTTTCTTAAGTCTGATTTCTCAGGCCCAAGGACTGCTTCAATCACACCTCTTGAATACTAGCATGATTTCAACCCCAATGAAAGGATATACATCGTATATAAATTGGCCGTCACTCAGAGACCTAAATGAAAGCATATAACCAGACATTTTTATCTAATTATAAAAGACACAACGTGCATAAGATTTCAAACTTGGACAAACTTAAGTCAGGGTGTGGGGTTTATCAGAGTAACCTCTGAACAGGAAATGGTCTAATAAATGATGTTACATACCAAGAGAGAAACAAAGATTTTGAAGGAACCTCAAAGGTCTTCTATCCTAGCCTTGGCCTTGATAATGCACGTACTGTAATTAGCATTCCATATACACAACAATGTAAGTGTATTCTTTAAAACTTCTGAAGGAAGAGTCCACCGCCCTTCAAAGCAGTCTTTTCTATTCTTGAACAACTCATACAATCAAAATTTTCTTTCTGAAGTTTAGTTAAAATCCACTTTATCAGATTCCAAACTTGGTTTGTATCCAACTGACGAAGCCACAGGAAGCAAATTAGTTCTATTTTCTCTGTGGCAGACTTTCAAGTATTTGAAGATGACTTTCACATTGGCATTTAACTGCCTCTTCTCCAGACTAAACATACTCAACTAACCTATGAACTCTCCTGATAGCTGAGAATGACCAGAATTCAAAGCAAGTGAATGAATGATTCGGCACAGAAGACCCACCCCATCCTTCTGACACCAGCCAGCTTAATTTTTACCCCAGCCTTCCTGTTAGACTATTACTGAAATACATATTCCAGTGGTGGATTGTGCTCTGTTCCTTTCACACTGGTCCACTTGGTAGGAGCCGGCTTTTCCTTCCTACTAGCCTGGCTGAGAGACTAATAGCCTGTCTTTCCCTGCTGACTGTTCTCTACAGTCAGTATAGAAACACTGGTTGTTAACTTCTTAGCACATCATTTGCAGGCTAGCAGCTTTTGTGTGGTTATTTACAAGAATGGACTCAAGTTTGAAAAAAAGATTTGCCTCTGTCCATCTTTTCCCTTGATTTCTAAATTCATAAATCCCCATGCAATAGCCTAACAAAGCCTCACACATTCAAACTTTTTAAAGTACCTTGTCACTTACAAGACTCAGGGTAAGATTTTTGGGGTGGCAGCACAAAGATCATCCTTGAAGAGCTAAACAGTCATTATTTCTAAAGTTCTATAGCCCATTCCAACGGCTTTCGAAATGATTAAAGACACCCCTCTCTATCTGAAACACAGCAACCAATTCACGTAGAGCCAGTTAGTCATGCCACAGGTATGGTTTGCCCAGTGTGCTGACTGGCATTATGAGTGGCAAACCAATTTAAAGTGTCCATAAGCTAAACGAGAAAGACGAGTGAACTGCTCCTGTGTAGCTGGCACTGGAACAGTCATTCTAAGAGTATTCTGAAGCATCTGTTTGAGTGTAAGCAAATAAAACATTTTTTCAGCCCAGTGACTCCATAGGGAAATGCCTCTTGCATCAACTCATCTGATTTGAATTTTCCATTACATTTCAACTTTCATATACAGTCAGTCACCCCTTCCCCCAATTTTATTTATAGCTTGGGAAGGAAGCCCCAACCCATAACACAAACTCACCAGGGTCCGCATCTGCTTAATTAACTGCACTGCTCTGTTTACAGTCTAGTGGGCAAGAATGTGAGCATTTCCAATTTCATAAATTGGCACTGGGTGGAGAATTCAGTATTCTAGTATTAATGGCTTCCTTTTTCTTGTCTTTGTCTTTGTTTAAGAAACCAAGTTGCTGGTCCCAAAGCCTCTAAAGGTAAGAGTTCGAAGCTCTATGAACACAATGCCAGCGGAAATCCCATTAGCCAGATCACAGAAAGGGCTTCTTCAACACAGCTTTTCTTTTCTCCCCATAAGAAGCAGGACAATCTATGTGAACTAAACGGAACTAACTGCACATACTTTATACAAATCACAGAATTTGGATTCCCATCATGTATCGGTGACTCTGATATTTTCCATACGAAGTACACCCAACAAATTTGTGACCACCACATAGATATACCTCAGGAAAATGGAAACCTGCAAAAGGAATTTTATACTAGTGATCACTTCAATTAATGACCTGTTCTGGCAAACATTCTGGTGTTTCAAGAGAATACAAAAATATATATGACATGGATAAAAATAATTCACTTCCACTTTTGATAGTGCTGAATGATAATGCTGAATGCATTACAGTTCCTCCCACAGACATTACTACGGAGATGTGGGAAAAATGTGGGTCAGCAGCAGTAGCCAAGCATTCCCATATCATTTACTTGGACTGATTGTAACAGACACTTGAGCCTCAAGCAACTATCACAAAATGTATTTGAAGACTTTTTAGAAAACTTGCTCTCAAAACAGCAAACCAGTCTTATTATTTCATCTATTCCTGGCTAACCTTGCGCTCTATTCTTGGCTACCAGTATGATTCTGAGATGCAAAATCTATGTTACCAAAACCAACCATTAAAGGATTATATGCCAAAAAAAAACCACCCTATATTTCCAATCACTGAAATCATCACTGCTTAGTAATACTAAAGTCATCTGTTGGTAAATGACTTGGTACAAGGTCACAGCAAAATAATGTCATGCAGCATTCTTTAGAGTGGAGTCACAATTATGGGACTCAAATATACCACTGTTATTAATGACTTGGCTTTTGGGAAGAAGGGGGGGTTTAAAAAAAGGAGGACAGATCCTGAGATAATGGTCAATTCATCGAAAAGGGTAATGAGCAGCGTGATTCAACACAAAAGATGATGCCATGCTGTCCCACTCAAGCTGCCAGTAGTTAATTCCAGACACTCGCTCTCTTGCATTGACTGGCCTTTGTGACACATAAGAAAACTACCAAAAGAAATAGGGTTCCCAGCACTGTTTAGCTGGCATCCACTCTGAATGGGAGAAGAGGCAGGCAATTGGACAGTGACAACCCTACTAGTAGTTATGGTTCACCATTTTGCTACATGTTATTAATAACATAGTTAGCATTTTTACTGTGTTTTCTGCATGTTCACACATTTCACCCTACATTAACTATTTCAGTAACAGACCAGAGCACAGACAGAGTTCTGACTCCTGTCCTCTGAAGATGCCAGCCACAGAGACTGGTGAAACGTTAGGAAGAACAACCTTCAGAACACGGCCAAAGAGCCCGAAAAACCCACAACTATTTCAGTAATCTTTACAACAGTCCTATATTATCAACACTACCAACATACTACAGTTGGAGGACGGCAGAGAGGGCTTAGGCTGAAAGATCGCTTTCTAAGATCGCTGAGTGAGCTAATGTCCAGGACAAGGATTAAGTCCGGGAATGCCCAAGTAACACTGTTGGGTCAAATTACACATCATAAAAATACAAAACTACTTTTGAAATCAGCAACCATGTTCTCTCTCTAATTTACACAGAGTACAATTCATGCATCCCTACTTACCATCGCTGGCCATCAGGCCACTGTAAGACACAGGCTTTGGTAAGGAGCACCGCATACTGAGGACAGAGAACACATGGCCGTTATTTTTACCAACAGTGCCATATTTATCATGCAATTTCATCCTTATTCACTACTTTTCAAGAGCTCCACAAAGAAGAAAGCCATATCTGGATCTATCGCATCTGATAACATAGACAGTCAACAGAAGACCTTATGCACTATGATACTGGATCAGATAACACTTTACTGAAATTTACATTTTGTCTTATGTAAGGCAGATGGCCTGGGAAAAACATTAGCAAGGCATCCTAGCCATTTCTGTTCCTGATTATTATTTATCATCATGTAGTGCTTAGGAGAATATCCTTTCTGTCAAAATAGTAAAAAAAAAATCATGGTCTATCTCTATCATCTGTTTCTCGTCTCAGTTTATCCCATACTCAATTTTTTAAAAACTCCTCTTTTTCCATTTAAAATATAAAGCAATATATGTATATATTGGAAAATCCCAGTAAAAGAGCCAACTGAAAATAAAGTCCTAATTATCTTCATCAATACATTACTATCAGCACACACTGAAAGCCTTTCAGTCCCTACAATCCCAGCCTCAAAGAGAATCCAAAGAGAGGCAACAACCCATACAAGCAAACCAGCTCTAACAAATGGAAACCTCACCAGTATTAGGTATGTATTTTGTAAAGCTAATGGGCATTAATTGCCTATTCCAGACGAAGACACACCAACATGGTTTGTATTACAGCAGGACCTTTCAGAACAATACTGTATTCTGTTTTTAGGATGATATATTCTACCACACCTAGCCAATGACAACCGTGTGCCACTGATGATTCATAAGCACGTTTGATTGTAATGATATTAGATCCACACATTTTATGAGTACAGTACTTAAAAAATCTGAAGCTCATATTCTAAGAATATTGATTCCGGTGCTAAGAATTCAGAACTAGTCTTTTAAGCTCATTATAGTTAGTCCTGGTTTTAATTTTCTGCAAACCCCTAGTTCAAACTCGGAGGGGAGGCAACTTCTGCAGGTTGGGGCCATATCACACACACACCCATTCTATCAAAGGCAATATTGTATTTCTCACCAAATTTGGCCTGCCATGCATATGAAAGAGGGTGATGTGAGAACAAATGTGCCACAATTTATCTTTAAAACAAGATGCACAATGAGACCACAAGAGAGAAGCACCGTGAAATTGTTTCTCCACCAGATCATACAGGGTTCACTGTATGCACTTGAAAAGTGGGTGGTACCTTACCCTTACTGGTATTTGGCCTGAAATACATGCTCTTCATTTGGATTGAAGCTGTTTTCCTTATCTATATAAATCAGAATGGTGAAATTTACTAGATTAGGGAGAAGTTTTGAAATGGTGCTTGCTCTGCAAAGCAAATTGCAACAGGCATACAGTATGGCACTCTTCCATTATCTCTTTTATTTAAAACTTTAGATAATCACAATTCTAACACAAACAAAAAAATCTATGCAATCCATCAAAGCATGTAATGGGAAGAAAGAAAGAAAAAGTTATAAATGCTTTAAAGTGTACTGGTGTGTCTTCAGCAAAAATAAAAATAAAAAAACCTCCAGTAAATACTATGGAAACTTCTTCCTAAGATATAGTAAGGTAAAACAAGTTCAGGACAGATCCTGAAACTGAGGCGCCAATACTTTGGCCATCTCATGAGAAGAGAAGACTCCCAGGAAAAGACCCTGATGTTGGGATAGTGTGAAGGCAAGAGGAGAAGGGGACGACCGAGGACGAGATGGTTGGACAGTGTCATTGAAGCTACTACCAACATGAATTTGACACAACTCCAGGAGGCAGTGGAAGATAGGAGGGCCTGGCGTGCGCTGGTCCATGGGGTCATGAAGAATCGGACACAACTAAACAACAACAACAAAACAAGTTTTATAGATACTGTAAGTTCTACTGAGTGCTCTTAACTAAGACCCACAGTGTAGGGAACCATATGATTTTAACTTTCAAGTCCCATGTTAAGATTGGGACAGTGCTGTTTCAAAGTAACTTTTTAATATAATTTGTACTATTAGCATCCAAAAGATGCCTAAGTTACAATACAATCTTGGTAAATGTAGTGCTAAGCTGGTAAAAGTAAAATTAACCTTAACAAGGAAAAATATGGGGGTGGGGGAATCTAAATAGAAACAAGGAAAAACTAAGCATGGCAAAACTCAAACAGAGGCACTCATTTACTATTGCATGACCTTTCATGAACAAAAACTACTTCATCAGATTTACATTTCATTAAATGTGTGGAGCAAAAAATGTTGAGTATAAGTAAGGACAGAACAAGTTCAGCTGAGCATCAAGGTTAACAAGAATGCTAAATGTGACTTACAATACACAACCCTACCTTGCCAATATCCAGACAAAGTCTACAAAACAAACTATATGGCAGACATTTAACAAATTTCTTACACACTCAAGCCAAATGGGCAGCCTGTTCTCTTGTGTTAAAAGACTTTCTGTTATTCTTATTTCACAGCCTAAGTGCAAGCTTGCTAACAAATAGTTTTATAGTGTTTTGTGCCAACTTGAGTAGATAAAAATCAAATTTATTTAAATCATAACTGAAATGACAATTTACGTTTAATTTTTAAAATTTAAATAATCAAAAACATTTTTTAAAATGTAAATCATGATTTAAATAAACTTGATTTAAATCAAATCCTCACTGGCCAACTCTAGTTCCTTTGTGTGTGTGTTTTTGCTTACTTTCCAGATGCCACTGCTTATAAGCTTTTTTAGAAAACTGACAAAATTACAGTAAAAGGCAATCAACTACAACTGCTATTTTCTGGTTTTCCATTCCCCCCAAAATACAAAATTTAAATCCAATGCAATTCAATGCAATGCAGTGTGAAGATATTATTTAGAAGTGGGTGACTGAGTGAGTTGAAGAATCTCAGAAAAAAGCACAACTTTGCTTTCAGAGAAAAGCCTGGATCCTATACTGCCAAGCTACTCAATAAACATATTTGACAACTTAAGGGATATTAGTAAGTTATGTTTTTCTTTAAACCCTTCTGCCTATGCAAAGTGGTGTCCAGAAATGTTTAGAACTCCCTATTTGAGTTTTCAAAATATTGAAATGACAAATTATATTCACAGCAGTTGTTGGTATCAAAATCTGAGAATGAATATGATGAAATAAAGTTATTATTTTTCTCTGGGGTTCAGTCTGTAACTTGTTTTCCAAAGTCATAAATCAGAAAGAAGTAATACATATGCTCTGTTACTCAGTCTCTATCCATGACCTCTCTACATACTTCGTAGACCACTTTGATTCAATTAAATATTTTTCATCATTTGGTTCAAAACAACAAAATTCATAAGAGCTTTCTGCCTTTTTTTGAATGACAAACAAAAAAGACATATACATTAACACACTGCTTACATTCAAGTCTTACTGTATATCTTTTCTTTAAAAAGAAATCTCTCATCTGTACTGTACTTGAAACCAGAACTTACTTAAAGGTTTCAAAGTTTTCCACAATGAGTGGATGCTTCTTTTGTTTAAAGAAGGAGACAGAATACATACACACATAATACAAATACTCACAGATTCCAGTGGTTTCTAGGATGGCGAGAGAACAACTCAACCCAAGGAGGCATAAAGAAATATGAGACAAAAAAGGGCAATGAAACAAGATGCCAAAATGGGAATGTGGCGAAAGGTGGCAAAATCACCATTAAGACAGCACACATTCCTACGGAGGCTGAACGCTTTCTGCATTCATGAGAAAACAAGTTTTGACAGCTGAAGAAAGACCTTGCAAGCCTGCTATTGTTTGCGACAACCAAGCACAACCCTTTTCTCCTCCCCCTATTACAGTGCATGAACATTATATGCATCTCGACCACTCAGCAGGGAAACACGAGGTTTTCCTTTCACGGTGATGGTTTATGAGGGAGAGCAATGTGAAATGCTGTAGTCCAGTCTCTTTGCAGCTGTAACTATACAATCTCCCCTTGCCCTAGTGGATTAGTTGATTATTTCAGTAAAAACAGTCTGGTAATAAAACCCCTTGTTCATATTTTTTCTAACCACCACCCCCCGCTTGTCCAATTAAAGGAAACACCTCCTCCAATGTGGTCCAGCTAGCTATTGCAAGAAGAATCAAATGAAGACATCAAGAGACAAATTCCTAAGGATATTAGTGGGGAAGCAAGGGTGATTTCACCTGAGGTTATCATCAATCAGTCGCCTTGCCATAAACATGGAATTTTTCAGGGGGCCCAAAAGAAAATACCTTCTACTTACACCCAAATGTTCTAATAGTTGCTTATGTCTCTTTTCTTTTTGGAAAAACATCCCTCAAGTAAAAAAGACCAAAGGACCACAATGTATTCTGTCTGGTATTAGGAGGCCCCTGTCTGGAGACACCTTAAGTCTCCCTGAACACAGTGACATTTGCTTCCGCCTATACAGTGGTGCCCCACAAGATGATGTTAATCCGTTCCATTGAAATCGCTGTTTAGCGAAAACATCGTCTTGCGAAAAGCGTTTCCCCACTGGAATGCACTGAAATCGTTTAATGCGTTCCAATGGGGAAAATAGTCGTCGTTGTGCGAAGATCATCCCATAGGGAAGCCATTTTGTGAAGCGCCGATCAGCTGTTTAAATCGCTGTCTTGTGAAGCATCGGTCCCGAAAACACCTGTTTTGCGAAGACTGCCCATAGGGAAGCCATTTTGCGAAGCCCCCGATCAGCTGTTAAAATCGTCGTCTTGCAAATCATCGGTCCCCGGGGGGGGAACCCATCTGGCGAAGCACAGACCGAAACATCGTATAGTGAAAATCACCCATAGGAAACACTGTTTTGCGAAGCGCAATGGCGATCGCAAAAACTCACTGTCATGCGGATTCATCGTTTTGCGTGGTAATCATCTTGCGAAGTACCACTGTATTTGTTTGTCCATTACATGTTGACCATTGAACTGAAAACTGCAAAGAAATTAAGCTGCCTAATATATCTGAATGATGCGTCGTCTCTTTGGGCAAAGCCACATTTATTTAAATGGACACATTTTGTCTGCTTTTTTCCAGTAAGTGATATCAGTTCATTACAGAATAGTATTTTCAGTTTGTTTTTGAAGAATCTATTCAATGGGCAAGCTCCTTGTTGGGGTCCACTACGAAGGACGTTCATAAGAACAGAAATTGTGTTAAGTACTGTATCTATCAGAGCCACAAATCCAAGCTTCTAGTTGTAGAAGAGGTAGCCATGTTAGTCTGTGCAAGAGCTCTAGGTACAGTAAAAGCAAAAGAGAAATGAAAAGGAAAGCTCCGAGACTGTTATCCCATTCTCTAGACATGGGAAACTTGGTATTTATATAAAAGGGGATTCCAAGGGTAGCCAATGTTATTTGGTCTGTAGTACCAACGTCAGAAGACAGATAGCAGACTTCACCAACCAGGATACAGTAGATACCATCTGAAAATGGAATAGTTCAAGAGAAACAAGCCCTTCTCAGTTATTATTCAGTCTGGAGGCTTGAACGCGCTCAGATGGGATCATATGTCAACACTTTGTTCACATGATCATCATGAAGCCTAAAGAGAAGAGATTCCTGCTCACATGTAGGTCTTAGACATGAATAAAAATCCTTGAAATTCTAGGTTCTCGCTTGCATGGAGAACCTACATGTGAGTCGGAAACTGTCCGGACTCAGTGTGTAACTATACTGCCAGCCTGTTTTGTGCTTCCGTTTGGATTAGATGATCACACAGAGACTGTGGGTTGCTTCAGTGCCAGTGTCCACTCTAGTCCCTCAATCTAAGGTGGTTTGATCTGTGTCACAGCCCCCTTCCTTTGATCTCTGGCTCTTTTATCATTCCTTGTAAACTCGGTGGGCTGTTTAAAGTGTCACATGGCACTCGGGAAAGGGGACCAATTTCCAAAGTTCCCCATAATATACAGACATCCATACCGCAGAAAAACAGCAGTCTACTGTAGTTTGTCAGAGCTGTTTCTATTTCATAGCAACGTTTATCTCCTCTTTTTTCGCCTGTGCAGGGTTAATCTAGTTCTAAAGTAGTAAATCAATGTAGTGATAAGGTGCTCGAGCGTTAAACTCAGTAATTTATTTAATTTTTTTTTAAAAAAAACTTTGGGGTAACTAAGAAGAACTATCATGGTGGTAGGCATTCCCGTTGTCCAAAACATCACATCCTGTTTAGTACACCACTGGAATACCACCTACAAACACACCCTCTTCTCTTTGGAGAATGAAACAACTGAGCACATGAGGAAAAGTTCGTTTGATTTGTTCTAGCTTTTAAAAAAAACCCAGATGCCCCAGTAGCAGAGGGGGGAAACACTCCACATCAGGAGCAAAACAGGCCAGACTGATCTGAATTGGTCTTGGCGTTATGTGATCAACGTAGATGTAGATGTCTATGTTGGGTTGGGCATGTCATGAGAATAGCTGATGGTTGGATTCCAAAAGATCTGTATGGAGAATTAGTGCAGAGAAATCGCCCCAGAGGGAGGCCACAGCTGTGATACAAGGATATCTGCAAGCGGGATCTGAAGGCCTTAGGAATGGACCTCAATAGATGGGAAATTTTGACATCTGAGCGTTCAGCCTGGAGGCAGGCGGTGCATCATGGCCTCTCCCAATTTGAAGAGACCCTTGTCCAGCAGGCCGAGGCAAAGAGGTAGTCTTGAAACCAGAAAACTCAGGGAGCTGGACAGGGGACAGATAGTATTTGTCTTATGTGGAAGGGATTGTCACTCTTGAATTGGCCTCCTCAGCCACACTAGACACTGTTCCAAGTCCTCCATACAGAGCACGTTACGATAGTCTCTCGAGACTGAATGACGCCTAATCTATGTGATCAATTATTTAAAATAGTGAACTCTAACATTTACACCTGCAGCAAATCCCGTAATACAGTATTTGACTCTGTACTCATAGCCTCAATCATGATCACATGAGCAAGATGACAAAAGAACAGGGAGGGCCAGCTACTCCTTCTGAGAGTGTTCAAATCTGCAGATCCATTAAATCGGAACTGCACTAGATTTACCAGGCTGCCTCCTCTCTCCTATTGTCAGCCATCTAAGGATGGGCATAGAGTGTGCCGATCTGTTCCTCAGGGGGCTACAGGTGTGTATCATGGCAGACGGCATGCCTACCATGTAACACCCACGTTTTCGTTCTAACTGGAAAGGCACATTCAACTCTGAGATTCCCAGGAAGAATCCAGTACCTCCTTGCACAAACAGCTCTGGCATGCCAACCTTGTTAACACCCACGGTTTCATTCTAACTGGAAAGGTACATTCAACTCTGAGATTCCCAGGAGGAATCCAGTACCTCCTTGCACAAACAGCTCCTCAGTACAGCAATTTTGCCCACTGCCAAAGCCAACACAGCCACTGACTGGCCAGGGGTTGCCAGAGGTTCTCAGATGGTTTTGCAATTGCTGAAATAAATCAGAACTGTTCTGGTGACTGCTGGAGTTTTTGGACACCTCAAGAATGGATGAGAATCAAAGTAAGTATGCTGGCATTCTCAAGCTCCAGCAATATTCTGCAGGATTCTGTCACAAACAACCTATATCAGATTCCCATTACACAAAACTATGGCATACTTGAATTTGGAATTTGCTGTCTAGTTACTAAACATGACGGGTACATATTACCTCCGATATCAGAGGCATTAGGAGGGGACATGATTGCTAGGCTGCTACAGTAAAAGCAGAGTGCTGAGCTAAGTAGGTTTAACGCTCTGCCATAACTTCTAATGTTTTTACAACTCTCAAGTTTTAAATCAAGGGAAGAAATATCACATACCATTAAATATGCTTCCCTTCTAATATGGGCAGGCTGTGGTCCAAGCTGGGAGTGGTGAGTTTATCTAGGAATAGTGAGGGTAAATGCATCCTTGCTTGCGGCACATGCTCATATATGTAACTTTTCATATCAATTAACATAACTATACAGTGGTGCTTCGCTCAACGATGTTAATTTGTTCCAGCGAAATCGCTATAGAGCGAAAACATCGTCAAGCACAATAAAAAAGCCCATTGAAATGCATTGAAAACCGTTCAATGCGTTCCAATGGGCTGAATACCTGCTCGTCCAGCGAAGATCCTCCATACAGCGGCCATTTTCAGGTGAAAAATGGCTCCTAAAAACAGCGGGGAGCCATTTTGAGCAACCGGCGGCCATTTTTTAAACCCAACGATCAGCTGTTTTGATCGTCGTAATGCGAAGAATCAGTTCCCGAAGCAGGGAACGGATCATCGCAAAGCGAAAAAAAACCATTAAAACGTCGTTTTGCAATCGCAATTGCAAAAACATCGCCATGAAGCGGATTCGTCATTATATGAGGTAATCATTAAGCAGGGCATGACTGTATTCTGATATGCTTCAAACGTTCTTGATTTTAAAAGCAGCTTCCATAGGCTGCTTCATTTTAGTACAAAAATAAAGGGCTAAACAGAATTGTTCTGATTTTCCCACCTAGAGTAATTCAATAAATGAATGGGATTTGCATACTTGTTGATTTAAGAAATTAATTCATTCAATCGATCTACTCCAGTTGTATCAAAAGAATAATGTGTGATATCCTACAGATATATAAAGGATGCATAATTGCTAACAAGCTATCTTGTTCAACAAATTCCAACCAAATACATGATAGATTAATTCCTCTATAGAAGTGTCTTTCATGTCAAAATTTTGTAAAATGAACTGTAAAAAGTTGTGTACACTGCTGTGCATATAGTGGTTGCTTTTCTTTAATTCCCTTTGTGAACTCCTTGCCATAGAAACATCATCATCATCATTGCATTTTTTATTTTACAAAGACCAAAAATTAGGCGTATTAATTGTACAGTATCAGAAATAACAGTACAGTGGTGCCCCG